TATTATAGTCGGCGTGACGAGTTCCATTGAAATTTAAAAAAAATTCGACCGTTTAACAACATTCAATCCAACGGTCAAAAAAGTCAAAATTATAGCCGTTGGAACTCGTCACGCCGGCATGACGAGTTCCATGTCCATAAATATTATTTTTAAATTTTCTTTTAAAAATTACAAAAAAATAATTATTTTTATTGGAATTCGTCACGCCGGTGTGATGAATCCCTCTTGAAATTTATTTTTTAATCAGACTGTGAGACCCACTTAACACGACCCATTAAAAAAACTGTTGTAATTATCGTAGATCTCAAATTAAAAATTTGGGTTTCCTAATGGGCTAAATAATTTAACCGGGAGTCGTAATGGGCAAGTTGGCCCCCAGTTAAGTGTTAAATAGCCCACAAAGTAGATCATTCTATAAAAATAGATGTCTCGAAAGTGTAGCCTAATTCGAATAAATCTATAAAAGATAGTCCTCAAATTTAGATTCTATCTCACTTGAATCGTTTATAAAAAAGAAAACAATAAATAAAGATGTTGATTAGAGACCAACTAATCTCGTCATATCATTTTTCATTTGTCAGAGATTAATATAAAGAAATATCTATTAGTAAAATCTAACTATTTGATAGCGAACGTTCATATACCTCTGTAAATTACTTTGTATTCAAATTCGAAACTTCAAGAGATAACAACAATTCCTTAATTACTAAAGTCACTTATGTCGTGCTTTAATCATATCATTTTTTCATTAATCTAGGGTAAGTATAAAATAGTATATGTTTAAAGATAACTCTCAACCACTTGATATTAAACGCTCACACCCCTGACATTCCCGGTGTTCGAACTCAAAACCTTTAAGAATAACAACAATTCTATTACTACTGAGTTTGCTCGATTCATACCTTATCATATTATTTATCGTATAAAAAAGGTAACTTTTCATAATAAATATAAATATAAATAATATTATAATGTATATGTTCGTCATCATGATAAAGTGTTGTCATTTAGGGTTTTTTTTTTATAAGTGTTACCATTGATTTTTTTTAATAAAATTATCAAGGATGATGTTGCTATTGCTGGCTACTATTTTCTGGTTCGAGCAATTGACATTTGACAACTTACGGCGATGAAAATTGACAACGCAAATTAAATAAATTTTTCAAGAAACTAATTAATTTAATTTAATGTTATTACGTAATTTTAAACAAATTAATTAATTTAATTTTGATTAGATAAAGTTATAATTGAAAGTAAATCTATAAGTTAATTTTTTAATAGACGATAATTAAAATAAAACATATATAATATTAATAATGATTTTATCATAAATAATAGTTTGATGATTAATAGTAGTTTAAAAGAATGGGTTTATGAGTAGCCCAACTATAAATATGGCAGCCGATGGTTACTGAAAAATTGCAGTTAGGATATTAAAAGTCCAATCTAATATCCCATTGGCTCAGTAATCATTGGAAACAAAAATCATTGGCTCCATTTTTTTACAAGGAAAATCCTTTCGACTTTCGTAATATATTCGCATTGTTCAACACTTTCTAGCCACCCCACCATGACTGTTGTTCAATGAAAGCAAAAGGGAATCGGCTGCGAGTAAATAACAAGGACCCAAAGAAGAGTATTGCGTTTTGAGGTGCAGCGCCATGGGTGAAGAAGAATTGAAGGTGTTTGGAGCTTGGGGAAGCCCTTTTAGCCGTAGAGTGGAGATTGCTTTGGAATTGAAAACCGTTCCTTTCGAGTACGTGGAAGAGAATGTGTCGGATGACAAGCTCAAGAGTCCGTTGCTTCTCACATAAAATCCGATTTACAAGAAAGTTCCGGAGTCTGATTATTCTCGAATACATTGATGAAACCTGGAACAATAATCCCATCTTGCCTGCCGATCCTCTTCAAAGATCCCAGGCTCGTTTCTGGGCTCACTTCATAGATGACAAGGTAAGATTCTTTTATCAGTTATGGAAAACACTGGTTTAGACGTGTATTCAAAGTTGATTTTGGTCTTGGTTATCAATCGAGTCAACTTTGGGTTTAGCTCAATTTCGGGTTCCAGTCATTTTGAGTTTAGGCTAATTTTAAGTACAGATTGTTGCGATTATGGTCATTTTGAGTTTGTATTATCTGGCTGGTAATTGAGTTGAGCCGTCTGTGAATAACTTGATTATTTGATTCAAATTTGGTTAACGTTGATTCAAATTGATTCGATTTAAATTCAAATTTAACTTGAGATTTTAACGAGGTGAATTGTATAATGTTTAACTCGACTCCATACGTTCATGAGCATGTCGTTAATTGTTTTATTTATAATTTTTTAAGATGTTGACTTATTTTGTAGGAATAGAATTTTTTTGCCCATTGTAAAAAAAATTAATTTTACACATATTTAGGATTAATGAATAAAAACAAATGATTGAGATTATAAATAATAAATTTGAAGATATTTATTAGAAAAAATACTCAATCTCAACTATCTATTTCTGCTGATTTTGTGTTATAAAATATAGATCATGAATTTGATCATGCCCATATTAGTACGATAATTAAATACATTTTTTATATTGAGATACTAAGTATTTAAAAAAGTAACAATCGGCAGCTTGAAACTTTATTTTATCAAATTCAGGATTTATCTTTTGATAGCTTAAAATTATCATGTTTAATCATATATGTAGTTTCTTTTCATATATTTAAGAGAAAATAATCTCAGCGACCAAAAATGCCTTATAATATACGATTTTAACCAACTTTTTTTGGATTTGCCAAAATGACCAACTAAATCGTAATGCGATCGATAATTCGCAACGCGATCTCCGGTATCGCAAATCAGTTTCCAGATTCGCGTTGCGATAATCGAAGTTCGCGTTGCGATAATCGAAGTTCGCGTTGCGATTTTCCAAATTCGTTGCGATAGTCGAAGTTCGCGTTGCGATTTATTCCAAATTCGTTGCGATAGTCAAAATTTTTGTTTCTTAAGAATTTTCTCTAAAAAGATAGTATTCGCGCGGACGTGTCGAAGACACGTATTACCACGACCACGACCACGACCCGACACGAGACGAGACGGCGGCGACGCGCGAGAGTCCCCCTTGTTCTCTATCACTCAACAAGAAAGTGGGAAAGCCAAGCCTTAAATACCATTCCCAATAGTATTTTCAATACTATGTGGGATTGAACATTACCAACACTTGTTCCCAATACTATGTGGGATTGAGCTTTAAATAGTGATATTATTTTTGAATGTTTTGCTTAAAATTGCAATAATCGCGATTGATTGTAGATTGACTTTTAATTATGACATATTTAATCGTATAATACTAATGCAATTGGTTGCTGATTTAGTTGTTTTAAGGTGCATAATTGTTAATTGTTTTCTGAATAATCACATTGTATTGGAAACAAGTGTTGGTAATGCTCAATCCCACATATTATTGGAAACACTATTGGGAATGGTATTTAAGGCTTGGCTTTCCCACTTTTTTGTTGAATGATAGAGAACAAGGGGGACTCTCGCGCGCCACCGCAGCCGTCTGTCCGTCTCGTCTCGTGTTCGTGGTAATACGTGTCTTCGACACGTCCGCGCAAATACTATCGTAACGAATTTGAAAAATCGCAACGCGAACTTCGACTACCGCAACGAATTTGGAAAATCACAACGCGAACTTGGACTATCGCAATGTGAATATGTAAATCGCATTGCGATAGTCTAAGTTCGTGTTGCGATAGTCGAAGTTTGCGTTGCGAATCTGGAAACTGATTTGCGATACCGGAGAACGCGTTGCGAATTATCGATCGCTTTACGATTTAGTTGGTCATTTTGGTAAATTTAAAAAAAAATTAATTAAAATCATATATTATAAGATATTTTTGATCATTGAGATTATTTTCTCTATATTTAAATATAATCTTTGCATTCATTAAGTGATTGAGAAAGGAGTAATGTACATACGTTGTAGTCGCCTCCTAACTCGTCTTTAGCACTGACGGAGCCAGGCTACGATAGGGTATCCAATGACACCCAAATTTTTTTTTTGAAAAAAATATTTTTTTAAAATTTAATATAAAAATATTTTTAGAAAAATAAATTAATATACTTTTAAAAATATATTGATAACTTCAAGCATAAATGAACACTTATTATTCATTTTCATTCCACTTAAAAGAATTCATATAATTTTTAAATTTAAAACCTTAAAATATCTATTTATAAATTTAATCTTTCAAAATTATTTTTCTAGATCCACCCTGATCTTTAGCATGCCTCGGGCATATTTATTTTATTTATTTTAAAAAATTCATTTTTTTTCATATTTTATCTCATTTTTTCTTTTATTTTTGATCTAAATTTTAATCGAACCATCATTACGTAGGTAGAAAATAGGTACGACACTGATCAAACTAACTATCGTTACTATCCTTCAAAAAAAACAAACAAACAAAAACTGTCGTTACTAAGCAGAAGATGTGTCTGACGTAAAATGTCTTTATCCTGTAAAACATTAAGGAGTAATAATATAAAATATAATCTAAAAAGGTTGTCCTTTTCTATATTATCTCTTAAATAAATTATATGTTTAGTATTTAAATCTTTTTTAATTTTTTAAATTTTTAAATATACCTAAAATTTAATTGTTATTTTATTTTAATATTCATATTCAAAATTTCACATTAAATTTTAAAAAAAATAAAAAATTAAGTATTAAAATTAAAACTGATAATTTAATTACTAAAAAAATTATACATTAAATTTTTAAAATAAAAAATTATACATTAAATATTTTCGTAAGAACACCCGTGTGGTGTCGTCATTGACCATTTTTCACATCCTTTTAAGACAACCCATGTGTAGACGCAGAAAATAGTAAAATTCACAGCTCCGCTTTTTGAAAATTGAAGGTAGACAAAAGCAGGAACAAGTGTCCCCAGATTTTGAATAAAGGCCGCTCTTCCGCACCATGAAAGGCTATGATTTGGATGGAAACAGGTCAATGCCAAAGGAATAATTAACTTACAAAGCACAAATATATTCAAGAATTTTTGGTAACACAAACTTAACACCGTAAACTAGTATGTAAAAACATGATTCAAGCAAAACAAAGAGCAACAGATCAAATTATTCTTATGAAAATCAAACTCGAAATCCGTTAAACATCTCAGTGCTTGCCGGAGCTCGAGTGTTCCTTGACGATGGTAACAGGGCAAGGAGCGTGCGTCATAACATGGTTGCTCACACTCCCCAAGATGATCCTGTAATAATAATTTCCATTACAATCCAAAACAAACTAGTGCTCCTATTGTGCGACCATCCAATAACACTAATAATTTACGGTAGATTTTACCTTTGAACAGTTCCAAGTCCTCTGCTTCCCATGACCAGAGAATCGACCTTTAGATCATCAATAGCATCAAGAATCTTCTCTCTGGCATCCCCTCCCCAGTAAAGCTTTGTCACAACATTTATCTGCAAAATCACAAAACATCAGCTCCAAATAAAAACCTAAAAGATATTTTTATACAGGGAAAACAAGAAAGGGGTTAACCTTTTTGTCTAGAAGCAGTGTCAAGCATGTCAAGAACTTCAATATCAGTTTTAACATCATACTTCTTCATAATCTCCGGTTCCCTAAACTCCGTCAAAGGAATAAGTGCTGCAACAAAACCCAGAAAATAAGAACAACCCAAGATCGGACCCGATACGATTAACAATGAATGAGTTGAAGAAACATACGAGAACCGGATTTGGCCCAGACAGAATTGCGGGACTCATCGAGAGAGTTGGGGTTGATGTGGATAATGTAAAGGGTGTCCCCTTTGTCAGCTAAGTTTTCTATAGCCCATTTCAGAGCGTTCTTGCTGCTAACTGAGAAATCCATGGCCACTCCGATCTTTCTATCTCCTCCCATTTTTTTCTTTTCTCTATCGTTGATCTTGCAAAGAGATGAAGCTAGAATAAGACTTAACGTAATTGTAAAGGAGGGTTTCGGGAATGAAGAAAAACATGAAAGCTCATGGGTTTTTATTATGGCCATGGCATGCTTGTTACAAAAAGTTGTCAGGCTTTAAGGAAAAGTTGAATCAATCTGGTACGTAAACGTGTTCGACAAGTGAGAGAGAGGATTGCTTTGACGCCAATCCGACGGTGGCGTGAAGATATTATTCGTTTTCCATGTGATTTTGAGATAACGAAAGCAAAATACTCCTTTTTATTCCTCTCTTCAATGTATTGAAAATAATTTACCGCCGTGGTAAAATGCTTTAGTTGCTTTGAAACTAGACTTTCATGGTTGATATTTGTGCAAATATCACTAGGCTAATAAATTTAGATTCGACTACTTGCTAAAAAATAATTTTAATTTGTAATTTTATAAGTTAAGTTATAAAATAGAAGTCGAATAATTTAAATTTTTTAATAATTAATAGTTTAATTTTTAATTTCAAGTTAAATTTTTAATAAACAAATATAAACTCATAGAAAAATATCAAATTGCATGAAATATATTCCCACAAGCTAATGCGATGCTTGATCCCGAAAAAAGTAAAAGCTAATGAGCTGTAAGTAGCTTTAAGCTTCACGGCATAGGAAAGTAATTATTTGTTTAATTAGAGTAAGAATCGAATGATAATATATATAATTAGATTAAATTTTAAAAAATTATAAAAATCCATATATAATTTATGTAAAATAAAAATCAACTCAATAACTTTATTATATAAAATAAGTTTAGATGAAAAATCTATTTTAAAAGATGTGATAAACGTTGATTAGGGATACAGTTAAGGAATCGATGGTCAACAAATCAAGCTAGATTTCGACTCTTTAATTGGTCTCAAATAGGTTTCGTTTCACACAATAAAAGCTATTTTAATCTTTTTGAAAAATAAAAAATATTAAATAAATTTTTAAAATTTCATATAAAATATTAAATTGATTCTTAAATTTTAGATAAATGTTACTTTAATTCTTAAATTTTACATGAAATATTAAATTAGTCTTTAAACTCTAGTTAAAATATCAATTTGACTCTTAAATTTTTAAATAAAATATTGATTCAACCCTTAAACTAAACCTAAGATATTGTTGTTGGCAATCACTCACCACTACGACAATCATTGTCAACCACCGTCGATTGACGTAGTCGGGAGGACCGTGACGTGTAAGAAGAAATTGAGGTATTTGTTACGAATTAGGAAATAAAGTTGTAACCCCCTAGACCCTGCCTATGCGTTTCGACTAAGTCTAGTGGATCACATTATGATTCTTAAAGACATTTTTTTCCGAAACCGTTATTAAATCAATGTAAAATCACATTTTAAATGACATGAAATTATAATAAATCATACTATCAAAACCCAACTTGTAAATATAATACCAATAGGTAATAAATTAATTTAAAACATATCTAAAAAAATCAAATCACGATAAACCGAATAGTAATAGCAAAAGTGTCATCATATTAAAATCCCATACTTTAAAATAAGGTCCATGTCAACAAAATAAAGTCAACTTGCAAGGTAAAAACATTACAATCAAATATACTTCAAGAGATATGTTGATCCTCCAAGTGCTCGAACCGAGGTATCTAACCAAAGGTATCTGAAAGGGGAAAACATTTTCGAAAGGTGAGCTAGGCTCAGTGTGTCCCAACATTTCCATAAAATCACAATAGGTACAAATCATAGTCCAGTAATCTCATAAATTCGTAAAAGAGTTTAACTTTTGCAAATCATAGTTTAAACCCTTTTCCGGTACACCATCAGTAGTTCCCAAAATTATTTTCCGGTACACCAATAAAACAGTTCAATAATAAGTAGGGAACACACATCGACAATAGGTTCAAATAGCAAATTTACTGATTGCTGGTTTCACCACGCTCTGCTACAATTTTCGAACGGGTGAATACTGGCACACGTGGTTTAACTGATCTAGAAGAGCTGGGTCGAGCTGTCGAACGATCCGGAGATTCTCTTGTACCTTCAAACAATAATAATCTATCAGCCCCAAATCTTAATTAATTGTTCAAAACTAGAATTCTTAAGTATATAAGCATTTTTCGGGTTTGACTATCATTTTGGGGTATTTCGAGTCTGAATTTGGCCAAACGGATTGCGGAATCGGAATCAGGGCGTCGAAAAACATAAAATTTGACTTTTCGAAAATTCAGATTCTTGGTCAAAGTCAAATTCAACCACTTTGACCGTCGATTCGAAGGCCTTCGGGTTCGAATTTGACAAAACAGACAGTGGAAACAGATTCGGCACGTCGAAAACTATCAGGATAGGTATACTCGGAAAAGATTAACGGTCGTTTAATGCTCGGTCAAAGACATTTTAAGTTTTGGTCAAAGAAAGTCAACGGTCAACGGTCAACGGTCAACGGTCAACGGTCAACGGTCGGGTCGGGTCAACGGTCGGGTCGGGTCCGGTCAACAGTCGGGTTGGGTCAGACCGGTCAAACCGGTCCAGACCGGTCAAACCGGTTCAAAACTGGTCAAACCGGTTTTCCAGCAGCTCACTCTCCCTGCGGCGGCGCGTGAACAGTGCCACGGTGTCGGAAAATTCCCGGAAAAATTTCTAAAAATTATTTTGAGCGATTTCGAGATACTTACAACGATCGGTTCAAATTTTTGAACGGCGGAGAGCTCGTATTCCAACTCGGCTGAATCTTTGACTGCTCCACCTCCTCACGCGCCGCCGTCAACGGCGAAAAAGGTTGAAACCGGCGGACTCGCAACGACACAAGGAACACGATGGTGCAGGAGGTGTAGTAAACAGAGCAACGATCGGCGGTGAATTTAAGATTTTCCCGGCGATAGAGCTAAAAAAACGTCAATGCTTTGACTGTAAATTCCCGACGTTTGGCAGCGTTTCGCTATAATTGATTTACTGGGTTTTGTTCAATGGTTGAAGATGAACACGACGGTGGTTTCAATTTTACGATTGGACGTCGAACGGCGTCGGAATCGAGCTTGGAAGTAAGGGTACGAGAGAAGGAAAATTGAGCAAATTCTCAATTGTGTTTTCTGATTTACAATCAGAAACCACGCTTAAATTATAAGCCTGCCGACACTCCTTGGAGGAATTCAGGGCTTGGTCCCTGAATTTCCTTCAACTTATAAAATGGCCTATAACTTTTCATAAATTTTTAGTCCAGTCATTAAATTTCACCATTTTTTCACAATTAACGTCCAATTTCAATTAAATATTATTTTGTAAATATTCGGGTTGTTACAATTCTCCCCCTCTACAAGAAATTTCGTCCTCGAAATTTACCTTATGAGAATAGTTGAGGAAAATGAGCCTCCATTGACTCCAATGTCTCCCAAGTAGCTTCTGAGGGGCCTCGATTACTCCACTGAACTTTTACCATTGGAATTCGCCTATTCCGAATAACTCTTTCATCTCTTTCTAAAATCTGAATGGGCTCCTCTTCATATGACAAATCCGGTCTCAGCTCTACTTCTTCAACCTGAATAATGTGACCTGGATCTGGACGGTATCGCCTTAACATAGACACATGAAAAACATCATGAATACGTCTGAGGTGGGAAGGCAACTCAAGCTGATAAGCAACAGGTCCAACTTTCTTCAGAAATACGATACGGCCCAATAAATCGTGGACTCAATTTACCATTACGCCCGAATCTCAATACTTTCTTCCACGGTGAAACTTTTAAGAAGACCTGATCACCAACCTCAAATTGTATATCTTTCCTTCTCTGATCTGCATAAGACATCTGCCTATCAAATGCCTCTTTCAAACGGTCACGTATCAATCTGACTGTGTCCTCCGTCTCTCGCACTAACTCAGGTCCCAACGTTTTCCTATCACGCTACTCAGTCCAACAGATCGGAGTGCGACATTTACGCCCATAAAGTGCTTCATAGGGTGCCATACGAATGCTGGTCTGATAACTGTTATTGTAAGCAAATTCAGCCAAAGGCAAAAAGTTCTCCCAGCTACCATGAAAATCGATTATGCAACCCTGCAACATATCCTCAAGAATCTGAATCACTCTCTCAGATTGACCATCAGTTTGTGGGTGAAAGGATGTGCTATAATTCAATCTTGTTCCCAAAGCCGTATGTAGCGCCTTCCAAAATCTCGAAGTAAATCTCGGATCTCGATCCGAAATAATAGACAATGGAACACCATGCAATCTGACAATCTCTGAAATATACAATCTTGCCAGCTTGTCCAAAGTATAATTTACTCGCACAGGAATGAAGTGAGCTGACTTTGTAAGTCTGTCAACAATCGCCCAAACTGAATATTTTTTCGAAGGAGTCATAGGCAAGCCAGTAACAAAATCCATAGTAATACGTTCCCATTTCCATTCAGGAATCTTGATAGGCTGTAACAAACCTGATGGATGTTGATGTTCTGCCTTAACTTGTTGACAAGTCAAACACCTAGTCACAAAATTAGATATGTCTTTCTTCATCCCAATCCAATGATACCTCTCCCTCAAATTCCGGTACATCTTATCTCCTCCGGGGTGCATAACATATGGACTACTATGAGCCTCAGTAAGGATAGTCTGCCTCAACTCAGCATCATCAGGCACACAATATCTACCTTTAAAGCATAAAACTTCATCCTGATCAATTGCGTAATCTGAGTTTGTCCCCTGCTCTACTTTCTCAAAGATGGAAAGCAATGAGCTATCAAGGGGCTGCTTAGCCTTGATCTCATCAACCAAGGTCGGCTTAACTTGCAATTCTGCTAATAAAGTGTCATCGTCATATAAATTCATCCTGGCCATTAAAGATCTCAACTCCGATATCGTCTTTCGACTCAAAGCATCCGCTACAATGTTAGCTTTACCAGGGTGATAATCAATCACACAATCATAATCCTTTAGAAGCTCTAACCAGCGACGCTGTCTCAAATTAAGCTCCTTCTGGGTCAGAAGATACTTTAAGCTCTTATGATCCGTGAAAATGTAACGCTTCTCTCCATAAAGATAGTGTCTCCAAATTTTCAATGCAAAAATTACTGCTGCCAACTCTAAATCGTGAGTAGGATAGTTACAC